TACATGCCAGTCATGCTTATTATGCCTTATATCTACCAGTACAGTATAGCACTTTGTATGGATTTTTTTGGGTTATCCTAGGTAATTTACACTATGTATAACTGTACATGTATTTATGTGTACCTGTGGGATAGAGACAGATACAGAGATAGATACAGACAGACAAAAGGAGATAGAATTACAGAGGCATACTGTAATTCATGCAACCCCGTTTTCTTTGGTATATGCTTAGTAAATATACGGTTTTCCTCTACAGTCGCTTTGTGTTCTCTCTACAGCACTAAAAAATTTATACAGGATTATATTTTACATGGAAATTTTGCTGAATTTACGTTAATATTTATGTTAAAAAATCATTAAATTATATTTTTCTTAATATTTAGTGTTAAAATGCATAAAAAAATTATATAGTGCCACAAAAAACAAAAGTCCTTGAATTTGAGGGGATTTCCACAAACAATTATTAGTTAGGTTCTAAAGAAAAATCTGTGAATTACTGGAGTCGTGAATTCATGGGAGTCCACGGTACACACAGATTTTTTTTATCCATGCACTGCTTGTGACACAATACAGTGGACCCCCGGCTTACGATATTATTTCATTCCAGAAGTATGTTCAGGTGCCATTACTGAACGAATTTGGTCCCATAAGGAATATTGTGAATTAGATTAGTCCATTTCAGACCCCCAAACATACACGTACAAGTGAATTTACATAAATACAATTACATAATTGGTCGCATTGGGAGCTGATCATAAAGCGGGGGTCCACTGTATTTTTTATATGGTGTACACTCATTGCACAGACCCATTCTCTCAGATCTAAGTCCATATTTACAGGAAGGGACCCTGACCTCAAAGCCATAGTACTACAGCACAGACCTCGAAAGGGTTAAGAAAAAATTATGTAGAAATCATTTATTTTTAGCTGAACATAGTCTTCTTTTTCGGTATCTAAACTTCACTACAATAGAGATATTGTACAAAGCCACATGAACTACAATGTTTGGGTGTTAAAACTATCATTATTGGAGAATTAAAAATTAAAAATGTTGTTTGGCTTTTTTATAGCTGTCAGAATGCAGCCCTGTTTTTCCTATACATTCTTCACATCACATGTCGTAATATCATGAGTAGTGCTGATTTAAAGGAACATAACCAACACAAATTATGGAAGTCTACTTTATGGTATCTACATTATCTCTAAGTCTTCTATTGCAGCTTGTTTCTTGAAAATGTTGTTTCAGATTTGCATATTTCTGTTCTTAACATCTAATTGTTACTGATGGCATTTTGTCTTCCTCAAAGTCGTATTCAATAATATTTAATAATGTTTCCAAGAACAAACCTGTAATTGTTTTACATGATGGTAGGATTGCTGGTATATTTTTTCTGTCTCATAAACATGCAAGGTTTCAGGTAAGTCTTGCTACTTCTACTTACACTTAGGACACACTGCACATGCATGTACAAGCATATAAATACACACTCCTCTGGGTTTTCTTCTATTTCCTTACTAGTTCTTGTTCTTGTTTATTTCCTATTATCTCGATGGGGAAGTGGAATAGAATTCTTCCTCCGTAAGCGAAGCGTGTCGTAAGAGGCAATTAGCCCTGTCAGGGTTGGTACCGTACTAGTATGGTTTGCTCGCCAGGGTTGGTGCCGTACTAGTATGCATAAATTCTAGCACCTTAAAATCTAGTGAGAGAAAGCTGGTAGGCCTACATATGAAAGAATGGGTCTATGTAGTCAGTGTGCACGGTATAAAAAAATCCTGCAGCACATAGTGCATAATGAGAAAAAAAAAAAAACTCCGACCGTGTTTTTGGTTAAAAACAGCGACTTTGCAGAGTATTTTCGTATGCTATTTATGGTTGTATTCTAGTTTTCCTGGTCTCATTTTATAGAATGGAAGACATATTATGGAAATTGAGATGATTTTGATTGGTTTCACAATGAAAAGTATCTGGAAATTGAGCTCAAAGTAGCAGAAATGTTCAATTTTTGCCAAAGTTCTAAGGTAAACAAATCATGCCACGCGTTCAATACACATCAACTGGTGAGTGTAATATTTTTTCACAAGTGCCCTGATATTACTTATACCATTTCTATGCCATTTCTACACGAATGCAGTAGTCTGCATAACATATATCTTCTATTTTTTTGTGAGAATAAAAATTCAAAGTGGAAAGCAAAAGAAATGTAACAGAGGCCTGAGGACAAGAGTAATGAACAGAGGAAATGTTATTTTAGTGCCAGAAATGTCTGTCTTGTTTATTCTGGACCCTATTTGGAAATTGGCATCTTCTGAAATTTGTGTGAAATTGGCAAAATTGCCAATTTCTGACCACCTTAATGGATAGTGGAAATTGGTAAATGGGTGGATTTCTTGTACTCATTCGATAGAAAAAATGGAGTTCTAGCGAAATAGGTATGATTTTTGTTGACTGGTACACTGGAATTGGCCGAAAATAGGGCTCAAAGTGGGCGAAATCGCCAATGCGTAAACATCGTCAAGACCGCTAACTTCGCGAGAGCATAACTCCGTAAGTTTTCCATCAAATTTCATACTTTTGGTATCATTATGATTGGGAAAAGATTCTTTATCATTTGGGAAAAGATTCTCTATCATCTCTTTTTTTTAAAAAATTTCCAACCCTGAGAACAAGTTTAGGAGAGGCCCTGCCGACCCTGAAAGGGTTAGAATGCCGGGAGCAAGGGGCTAGTAACCCCCTTCTCCTGCATACATTACTAAATTTAACCAGAGAAACTTTTGTTTTTCTTTTTGGGTCACCCTGCCTCAATGGGATATGGCCAGTTTGATGAAAAAAAAAATTGCAACAACATTATCATTCTTTCCATGAGGCTCTAGATAATTTCTTTACCTTTTGTAGTGAATATTAGGTTTAATGTTGATGGTGTACTGCTTTTTTATTCTTATCACTTCTTATATGAGGTGGTGCATGAAGGAACTGGCACACCATTTGTTACATACTATTTGTTTAGGTCTCGTAGAAAATCCAGTCTATTTCTTTATATCTGATATCCACTATTACAATGATTTTTACTTTCACTACAATCGCCTTTCCATAATAGTGTTCCAAGCATGTCACACAGTCCCTCAGTTATCATGGCAAATTCTTCTCTCCCATGTGTTAGTTATTAAAAGCTAAAATGTATTCATTTACAAAAAAAAATTCTCATATATTTCACATCTCTACATGAATTCTGACATTATGAATGAGTGGGATTTTAAATTCCATACTTTGAAGTAATTCCTTCTAAAAAAAAAATACTAGGTCTCCTCCTTTCTCTGAGCTAAACTGAGTAATTATACCTCAAATGCTGCCACATTTAGAAAGTGATTTTCAAATTTTGTTTTAGAGAAAGTGAAGTTAATTCTTCTTATAATTTTCTTAATTCCTAATTCTTTTTACAATGTTCCTAAATGGCTTGCTTGTCTCCATGCAAGCAATTTAAGAATGAGTTTTTCTCCACAGGTCCCTCCTCCTGTCTATTGTGTGTATGTGCACACATACGCAAGTGCGTGTGTGATCAAGAATTCGTTCAGTACATGTCTGTACTTATATGTGCTTAAACCAACATCTCAGTGAGATACATGTAAACATTTGCCATACTGAAACTTAGTACATTTTAAAACAATCAACAAACAAAAAAAAAAAAACTGCATAAAAGCCCTTCACGGTTAAATGAAGTGACCAAAGTCTTCAAGCAAAACCCCATTGAGCAAACAATAATATGTAGCATTTATTTAATTAGTATTGTAGTAAACTGACATGCAATTTAATATCTGCTAAATAAAGGTCTAAGTCTTCGTGGTCTCGATGCTTTTTATGTTGTCAGATTTGCTGTATGTTAAAGAAAAAAAATGCACTAATTACAAAATACTGAACTAGCACATGATCATCAATTTCAAAATAAAATGCTAAACTACTATGCACATACCTGTGAAGCTTGAGTGAACACAGTAGCAGGCAAGCTGATAACACCATACCTGTAAAGCTTGAGTGAACACAATAACAGGCAAACTGATAACATCATACCTGTGAAGCCTAAGTGAACACAGTAGCAGATAAGTGGATAACACCATACCTGTGAAGCTTGAGTGAAAACAGTAGCAGATAAGTGGATAACATCATACCTGTGAAGCTTGAGTGAAAACAGTAGCAGGCAAGCTGATAACACCATACCTGTGAAGCTTGAGTGAACACAGTAGCAGGTAAGTGGATAACACCATACCTGTGAAGCTTGAGTGAAAACAGTAGCAGGCAAGCTGATAACACCATACCTGTGAAGCTTGAGTGAACACAGTTGCAGGTAAGCTGATAAATAACACCATGCCTGTGAAGCTTGAGTGAACACAGTTGCAGGCAACCTGATATACAACACCATACCTGTGAAGCTTGAGTGAACACAGTTGTAGGAAAGCTGATAAATAACACCATACCAGTGAAGCTTGAGTGAACATAGTTGCAGGCAACCTGATATACAACACCATACCTGTGAAGCTTGAGTGAACACAGTTGTAGGAAAGCTGATAAATAACACCATACCAGTGAAGCTTGAGTGAACATAGTTGCAGGCAAGCTGATAAATAACACCATACCTGAGAAGCTTGAGTGAACACAGTAGCAAGCAAGCTCACAGCATCATTCTTGTGAAGCTTGAAAAAAAAAAAAAAGGCAGGCAAGCTGAGTGCACTGCACTCGTGAGGCTTGAATGAACATAGTAACAAGCAAGAAGGCAGCACCCACTATCATATTTGTGAAGCTTGAGTGAACACAGTAGCAGATAAGAGAACAGCAACCACCACCATACTAATGAGGCTTAAATGAACACAGCAGCAGGCAAGAGAACATCATACTTATGAAGGACGAGTGAACACATTAAAAGGCAAGCTGATAACACCATACTTATTAATTTCGAGAGAACAGAGTAGTAGACAAAAAGACTGTACTTGAGATCAATAGGGGTACTTACCATCTCTGTCTCATGGAAGATGATGTTGTCAGTGGACTCTTGGGTAGTGTTAAGACTGTGAACTGGAGTAGTGGGACACCCTGTAAAGTTGATCAATTGTTAATTATTTCATTTATGTCTGTTCATAATTACTTGGCAATTCTAAGATCAATTGTTTTGATGACAAATTCAATATGCTTTCACATTTTATATGTTGTACTGTATATTACCAGTTTTAATTTGAGCTGTTTTACAAAATAAATATGTCCAGGATAATATCCTCCCATCTTACGAATGCAGTGACCCCAAAAATTATGAAAAAAATGATCAAATAACAAAAACGTATTTATCATCACGCTGTTGTTATTGTTGGGTTGAAGGGTTGCTGTGGTCCTGCAAGGACCTAATTCCTATGAACAGCCAACAAACTTGGCAATATCCAAACACCATCAATAACACAATGTATCCATTCACCAGAGGAACACTTAAATATTAATTCCAACAAGTAACTGCAGTAACTTCATTATATTCATGGGGGGAGTGCTAAACCCATAGGTTTAATCCAAGGAAGGGGAGGCCAGGTCCAATTCCTTAGATTAAGAGCCAGAGAGGCCAGGTCCAATTCCTTAGATTAAGAGCCACTCACCAGCATCAAGGAACTTCCCTTAAGGGGTGCTGCAACAAGAGACATCACTGAACCAATACAACTAGTCACTTCACATCCCAACTTGTGCAGTCATCAGGAGGACAGAACACTTGTAAATAAACTGCATGTATCCTGAAGACTACAACTACCAGAATGCTTGTGTACTGTACTGTAGAACTATTTAATTATTGTTACTATGTAATATTAATTAAATGAAAAATACTGTATCATTTTCCTCACATTTTCAATGACGACAGAAGGACTGGGAGGAAAAGAGAGTAGGAAAACAGGAAGTAGCTGTTTATAAACATTAGCTGTCAGAGGAATACCACTCTCATACATCCATGTTTATCACAAAATATAACTTTAACAGCCAAATTATGCACAATGTATATACAGCAGATAATTTACCGTACGTACAAATGTAGGCAATTTTTTTGAAATGTAACCCCATGTTGAGTAAGAAATTATGTAAAATATGTATTTGAGTAAACAGTAAAAAAAAAAAAAAAAAAAAAGTTTAATGGACAGCTGAGTGAGCAGTTACGTGGACAGTCAGGTAGGCGGTTGAGTGACTGGATAGTTAGCGTGTGTGTGTGGGTCTTAACCCTTAAACTGTCCAAACGTAGATCTACGTTTATATGTGTAGCGCTAAGAACGGAGATCTACGTTTTTTTTTTTACATTGTTTCTTATGGAGAAAATTAAGGTCGGAGCGCCACGTGCACAAACGTAAATTTACGTCTGGACAGTTTAAGGGTAAAATAGAGGGTTTTTTATCTGGTAGTTTTCTGATTTTATCAGTTTGTTACCTTCTCATCTATAATTCTGAATGCACAAATGACCCGCACATCGAAGAATGAAACTACGATGACATTTTGGTCCAACCTGGACCATTAACTAGGTAATGGTCAGACTGAAACATTGTTATAGTTTCACTTTCCTATGTGTGAGTTATTTGTGTATTGTTCCAGTCACAGTATTGTGTCTTTTTATTCATTACAATTTTTAATGAATAACTACAATCCTGTCTAAGGGCAATGTGTGGTGTAAATATTATGCAGAAAATTCGGAGTGTGGAAATTAGGAAAAGGTGTGGAGTTAATAAAAGTATTAGTCAGAGGGCAGAAGAGGGGTTGTTGAGGTGGTTTGGTCATTTAGAGAGAATGGATCAAAGTAGAATGACATGGAAAGCATATAAATCTATAGGGGAAGGAAGGCGAGGTAGGTGTCATCCTCGAAAGGGTTGGAGAGAGGGGGTAAAGGAGGTTTTGTGGGCAAGGGGCTTGGACTTCCAGCAAGTGTGCGTGAGCGTGTTAGATAGGAGTGAATGGAGACGAATGGTACTTGGGACCTGACGATCTGTTGGAGTGTGAGCAGGGTAATATTTAGCGAAGGGATTCAGGGAAACCGGTTATTTTCATATAGTCGGACTTGAGTCCTGGAAATGGGAAGTACAATGCCTGCACTTTAAAGGAGGGGTTTGGGATATTGGCAGTTTGGAGGGATATGTTGTGTATCTTTATACGTATATGCTTCTAAACTGTTGTATTCTGAGCACCTCTGCAAAAACAGTGATTATGTGTGAGTGTGGTGAAAGTGTTGAATGATGAAAGCATTTTCTTTTTGGGGATTTTCTTTCTTTTTTGGGTCACCCTGCCTTGGTGGGAGATGGCCAACTTGTTGAAAAAAAAAAAAAAAACTACAATTCTGTATCAAAATAGACAAAGTGAGTAAAACCTTGATTTAGCAGACCTTGAATTAATATATTTTAAGATATACAGTGGAACCTCAAAAATCGAACTGCTCCCAACACGACCAATTATGTAAGTGTATTTTTGTAAGTGCTTTTATACGTGTATTTTTGAGGGTCTGAAATGGACTAATCTAATTTACATTATTCCTGATGGGAATAAATTCATTCGGTAAAGGCACTCGAACAACCTTCTGGACCGAAGAAAGTTCGATATTTGAGGTTCCACTGTATATACATTTCAGTTTTAATGAATTTCAGATTTAATGCACAAAACCTGGACAATGGACAAAGTCCATGAATTGAGGTTGGCATATCAACATGTAATACATATTGTACATATACAGTGGTACCTCAAGTTATGAACTTAATTCGTTCCAGAAGGCTGTTTGAGTGCCAATACCAAATGAATTTGTTCCTATAAGGAATAATGTAAATTAGATTAGTCTGATTCAGACCCCCCAAAAATACACTTACAAAAATACACTTACATAATTGCTCGAGTTGGGAGCTGTTTGAAATTCGAGATACCACTGTAATTGGTTTTTGCCAGTTTAGTGAATAACTGTTAAGGTAAGTGTAGGGGTAGGGGTAAGTGTAGGGATAGTTAGGTAAGTTTATGGGTAGCAACTGTCATTGCCTGTCAACTGGTTGTAATAACCCACATTTTTTTTTTTTTTTAAATTTTACCATTCTTCAATACTAAAGGATAAGTTTGATACTAATTTGTAACAATGAATGAACCGAAGGAGGGTGCTAGTCTGCCTTACACTACCTACACAATGAGCATAGGTAAGGCACTTGTGCAGCCTTCACCTCACCCCTTCCCCCCCCCCCACACACACACACTTGCTCAGAGGTCAGTTGGTGTTTTACCATCAGCCATGGAAAGACATGGGCTGTGTTGCTTTGTCTCCACCCTCTTACATGCACAGCCTCATGCACAGCCTCATGCACAATCCTCCTCTTGCAAGGTCTATTTTTTTGACTTTTATAATATCTGAGCATTGTCCTGTGTCTGCAGCCTATGTTTGTGTGGACTGTTTACTGAGTTTTGGTGGTGTATACATTGTAATACATGTTGCTTAGGCTTGTGCAGTAATGTCCAGTGTAGACTCACTTGTTTTAACTACAATGTTGACTGCCTCTGGAAGCAGCATTGCCACTCTGTAATTCAGAGTCCCCATAATGCACCACACATATACACTTAGTTTATACACTGCCTTGTGTGGATTTTATCTGGTGTAGACTCAGTCTCAGGAAAGGTTTACTTCTGCATACTTAGTACAGTGGACCCCCGCCTTATGATGGCATCGCGTTACGTTAAATCCACCATACGATACATTTTAACACAAAAATTTTGCCTCGCTTCACGTTAAAAAACTCGCCTTACGTGATTCGTCCAGGACGCGTCCTACATGTGGCCTCAGCGCCAGTGTTTACAAGCCAGCCAGTGCAGTCGCATCTACACATACATTCAGTACATTTCACATTATCCCAGTGTTTTTAGTGCTTATAACTGCAAAATAAGTCACCATGGACCCAAAGAAAGCTTCTAGTGCCATCCCTGTGGTAAAAAGGGTGAGAATTAGTATGGAATTGAAAAAAGAGATTAAGGAAATGTGTGCAAAGCGGGTTGAACTGCAAACCTTTATGGATGAATATCACCCTCACACAGCTATTGCAAGCCGTGCTGGTGACTATTACAATGACAATGTTGTGAACCACTTCAGACAAATCATAAAGGAATGAGAGGTACAGAGCTCTATGGACAGGTATGTTGTGCGACAGAGGTCCAGTGACTCTCAAGCTGGTCCTAGGGGCATTAAAAGAAAAAGGGAAGTAACCCCAGAAAAGGACTTGATACCTCAAGTCCTAATGGAAGGGGATTCCCCTTCTAAACAATAACAACTTCCACCATCTCCCCTCCTCCCATCCCATCAATCATCACCAGATCTTTAATAAACGTAAGTGTCATGTATTCTATTCTTAGTAGAGTATTAACTGTGCATGTCTTCTTCAGTTTGTATTAAAATTAACATTTCATGTGGTAAATTTTTTTTTTTCATACTTTGGGGTGTCTTGCACGAATTAATTTGATTTCCATTATTTCTTATGGGGAAAATTAATTCGCCTTACGATAATTTCGGCATACGATGAGCTCTCAGGAACGGATTAATATCGTAAGGCAGGGGTCCACTGTATTAAGTAAACTTAGTATTTGCCCAGTTTTGTGGATTCAGCACATGCTAAGAAAGAATGGACTGTCTGTCTTTTTGGTGTCTACTCCCTGTATTCTGTGGTTTTTGTTCTTTGACTATATGACATCCGCATACACATGCATCACTTGGGTTCTTGTGCTAGCGAGTTACACACCTTGATATTTATGCAAAGCTTAAGAGTTTGTGATTTATCAGACTTAACCAAATATCACCCATTTCTGCACAAACACAGTATCAAGTAGAAATAAATCTTGGATTTTGTGGGTCAATTAAGTTACATTTAGCATACAGGTTGATGAATTTGTAATCAGGTATTACTTTAATTATGTCCATAGTGTGACTACTATTTCTCAGACAGATTCTAAATATATTGAAAAAAGATATTTTTATTTAGTAAACATATGTGCATAATGTACAGTGTCTGCACTCTAAAGGAGGGGTTTGGGATGCGTATTTGCTGTTTAGATTATTATTATTATAA